CCTAAACTGTTGACCCTGAAGCAAATCTACTGAAAACCCCTACTCAGATATGTTTACAGTCTAAACCCATTTCAGGAAACACAGACTTCAGTATAGTTCAACTTTTGCAGAATGTTCCTATACTAATGTTGATGCATTCTTTTTCAGGCAACATAGGTTCTGAATTGTCAGACAGTGACATCAGCATGTTTGTCTCCTCAGATGCAGGGAACACTTGGAGACAGGTAAGAACATTCCAGGCCATGTTACTGTAGTTTAAGTGACAGAATAATTGTCCACCGTGGTTCAGGACTGAAGAATTTGTCTGCAATGCTATACTTATGTTCTGAAGCCTGCAAATGTATTCAGTTTCCTTGTTTATGAAAGTCTTATGTCTTTGAGTTAAGCATATATTTATACAATTTGATTTTTATTTTTAATAAAGAGATTCCTTACTCAGAGAGCCTATGTAAGAAGGTTGATAAATGACAAGGAAACCAAATGATCTTAGACTGATTTTTCCCCATAAAAGAAAACCAGAAGGCCGTTGAATTTTCATATAGGGAATGTAGAGCTGAAGGTAGATTGTTTACCTAACACTAAGTTGCCTCTGTAGATTCTTCTTGCCTTGAAGTCAGAATGGAGAGGAATACAGGGATATCAAAGTAGCCATTACCCAGGTGGTCTTCTTAGATTTACATCTCCTGTGCAGAAGGTGGAGTAATAACCATCAGGATATGTATGCTAGAAAAAAAACAGAAAAGGGATCACTTTAAACTGATGTGTTTATCTGAAATGCCTTTTGTCTTTCTTCTGAATGAAAATGAGATACCCATGGCTTATAAAACAGGAGTTTAATGAGGTCTAGCAATCATAACAAGATATGTGCCTAATGCGTGCTTGTTACAGTTCAGTAAATATGTTTTAATAACCTACTGATGTTTAATTATATTACAATTACTAGCACTGTAAAATGAAATCTAATGCACAGGTAATCACACTTAGCAATGAGAACACTGCTTTAAATTTTAGATAGACATGGCCCAGATTATGGTCCAGTTGCCACCTTGGGCTTCAGGCCCTTTGTTGATCCTCACTGGGATTCCTCTATTTTAAAGATAAGACAATAGGGGGGAAATATGCTTAAGAAGCCTCAGAGCAGATCTTGGGGATATATGGGAATATAGACTACTCGAAGCAAGCTTCCTCTGAAAATAATTAGAAAGACAGAATCCCCATTTCTTCATCCCAGCACCCCAAGAAGATAGAGTCTGGAAGTCTCTGCTTCTATAATCCTTATGTTGTAAACCTTGGCATAGAATGTAAATAGAAAAGAAAAGGGTGATATCTGTAGTGTGAGTCCAGATAAGGCTGTACTGATAAAGTGCCTGTGAGAAATTATGTGCGTTTTATTGGAGACGATTGAGAGATGTTTCCAACTTGCCTCCATTTGACTTAAGTTGGTTTCTTCACATTTGGAGAAAGATCTAATGATATATGTGCTAAAAGATAAGGATTCCATTTTGATCCGAACTATCTTCTGGTGATCTTGTAACTAGAACATCTCTGAATTCAACAGGGACATCTTCATTCAATAATACGGTGACATTTTAAAATAATTAGATCTGAAAAGAACACTTTTCAAGTCCCATCTCTTTCAGTTGCTGTGTGCATTGTCTTAGGCAAGTCACCATGTCTCTCTAAACCTTAATTTTCTCATCTGTGAAAATGCGAGGAATGGAGAATGTTATGTCCAATGTTCTTTCCATCTAAATGTGTATAACATATGACCGTGCTGCTATTTGAAATACCAGTGACATAGTTTCCAGCATCACAGAAACAAGCATGCTTCTGCAGGATGACAAAGGAACAGACAAATGGTAGGTAATATTTGTTGTTGTTAAGTGCCGTCAAGCCAGTTCTGACCCATACCAACCCTGTATAGGGATTTCCTAGGAGCAGCTTGTGAGCTTTAACGGCCAACCTTACGGTTCAAACCAACCTTGCAGTTCAGTGCATGAACCCACAGCAACACATCAGGTAACACTTGTTGTTGTTGTTGTTGTCGTTAAGTGCCGTCGAGTAGGTTCCAATCCATAACGACCCTGTATAGGGTTTTCGAGGAGCAGCTGGTGAGCTTGAACTGCCGACCACACCAGCGCCAGAACAAGACTCCTAATAGTCTGACATCCTAAAAAAGGGTGAGACACTGAGGGTTAATGTGCCGGACTGCAAAGTCGCTTTGAACTTCAGAGTCAACAGTTCAAGCTCACTGGCTGCTCCTTGGAAACCCTATACAGGGTCAGTGTGGGTCAGAATTGATTTGACGGCACTTAACAACAACAACAAAACTAAAAGTAACCTAGAGTGAAGAGAACTCAGGGTGAGGAAAACAATTAGGTCTTTCTTCCACCCATTACTCTTCTCATTCTTGGGCCGATTCTTGAGTTTATTTGGCTTTGCAATCTACTACTCATCCTACTGGGGTTAAGGTATAGTACTGCGGGTTAATGAGCTGGACTTCAAAGTCATTTGAACTATAAGGTCGGTGGTTCAAGCTTGCCATCTGCTCCTGAAAACCCTACACAGGGTTGCTATGGGTTGGAACTGACTCAACGGCAGTTAACAAAAACGACAACTCATCCTACTAGTTAAAATACAATCTGTGAATTGGGAAAAGAATCATGAATCAGACAAGTAAATAGTTTTCTGGTCAAATGAGATTTTTGTAATGGCATGTTATCAGAATATCTTTTGCAAGGCTCCCCAATGACCTTGTTGGGTTTCTCCCAGTGGCTGACACATCAGTGGCCTGGCTTGCCTGTAGCAAACTAAAAGGTGATTGGGACAGAATGTGCCTCCTTGGCTTTTTCTAGGAACAGTCATGCAGATGACTTTACCTGTCATTCTCCAATATTTGTAAATGAATTCTCTGAAGTGAACCTCGGGTGTCCTGTAGGCAGCCGTTCTGAAGTCTTCTTGCCTAAGCTGTGTTGAACTAGCCCCAAGTCTGCCTGATATGTGCAGGATTCTCAGTGCCAACTGCCCAGTGGTAGGCCCCTCAGTTGATCCTGTTTCTGCCTTCCCAACCCCTAAATGCCAGCATCTCACCTCCATTTCACAGATGGGCTCATTCTTCCAAAGGCCTGCTGATTGCTACCTGTTATTTGTCTGTGCATATGGAGGTACAATTTGTTGTCATCCTGTGTGCCCGAATTCATCCCCGGGAAGCCAAGAATATCAGGCTACTGAGTGACTCCTGGAGTCAAGAATGAGAGGAGACTGAAAGAGAAGTATTGATTATTTCCAGAGTAGAGGAGGGTTGGAAGCAGTTTGTTCTATTTGGCAGCACAGAACTTTTCCTTAGGGGAGCTGCTTGATAATCCTTGTAAAGGACATTTCCTTTTCTCCTGTGACTTTGAAGCATATGGCATGTGCACAGAGAGACCTGGCTCAGCTCTACTCGGTAGATCCAGATGCCTTGGAAGAGCAACCCAAAGACATCACCAGTCATGGACCACATGTGACTGTGTACCACCCTGCACTGGAGTTTGCGCCTGAGGCTTGGGCTTCTACAACCTCTTTTCTAATTGCAGCTTGCTCTTGGCTCCATAGCTACAGTATTTTGTATCCTCCTAATTAGGACATCATCTACAACTCAGCTTAAAGGTGTTTAGTTTGGATTTTTGGACATTGAACCTTCATCTCTACACAGGCATATCTGATGTCTGCGTTAGAAACCCAAAACTGGGTTCTGCAGAGTATTGTCACGGGTTCATGATAGATAATGCATGAAACAAAGAAAGACTCCATTTTTTGGAAAGCATTGATTCAGCAAATGCCTGGTTTTTGACTGATTGATTAGAAGAAAGGTAGACTGTGCACTGACACCAAGTTCTCCTCATTGGTTTCTCTTGTCTCTTTCCCCAACAGTGACTACGGTTATGAACGGCACAGCAATGGTCAGTGCCTGCCAGCATTTTGGTTCAACCCATCTTCTTTATCAAAAGACTGCAGCTTGGGCCAGAGTTACCTCAATAGTACTGGGTAAGTGACGTCAGCAGCAGCCTCGGGAAGCCACCTTTGATGCTTTTTCAGCTGAATTAAGCCTAGAGAAAGCCTTTTGTCAAAGACCAGGCTTATTTTATTTCAGGAAAAATTGTTTTTGTACACTTTAGTAATGTCTTATAACTTTGCATTAAGAGTACAGACATCGTCTGAGAATAAGGCCCCTGTTGTAAATAAAGAATGGAGAGCAAGTTCCTTGAAAAAGATAAAGATTATGTGTGGGTATGAATGTGTGTAGATGTGAGTTTGATGTGTGTGTGCAAATATATACATATATGTGTGTGTGTATGTATATATATATGTGTGTTCTGGTTGTTAAGTGCCATGGAGTCAGTTCCTATTTATAGTGATCCTGTATAGGATTTCCGAGGAGCAGCTGGTGGGTTTGAACCAGTGACCTTGTGGTTCAAACCTATCTTGCAGTCCAGTGTATTAACCTGCAATGCCACACCAGGATTCTAGCTATCTGCCTATCTATCTATCTATGTACATAGTTTATTTATGAATGATTTAAGCATGAGAGATTCCCCTTGACGCTTGCATCCTTGTGAGGCTTTCACTTCCTGTTTTATAGATGAGGAACCCAGACTCAGAAATATCATTTAAAAAAATTAAAAAGGGAAAGTATTTCATAACTTTTCTGTAAATGTAATTGATAGTATATTCTTGAAAGCTGACATTTGTTTGTGAATCTCACTAAGGTTCTAATTCAAGCAAATAATCCATAAAAAGACATTGTATAAACATTCTTTGGGGAAATTGAACATCGGTTGGATATGAGGTGATGTTATGTTTTTCTGGTTGTTAGGTATCTTCAAGTTGTTTCTGACTCATAGCAATCCTGTGCTCAGCAGAATGAAACACTGCCTAGTCCTGAAACAGCCTCACAGTTGTTACACTGCACATGTTGGGTCTGCCACTGTGCCTGTCCATCTCATTGGGAGGCTTCCTCTTTTGCTAATCCTCCACTTTACCAAGTATAATGTCCTTTTCCAGGGATTGGTCTAACCGATACTGTATCCGAAATATGAGAGACTAAGTTTCATCATTAATGGCTTCCAAGGAGCATTCTGGCTGTATTTCTTCTCCTCCCACCCACACTGTTATAGGGTTTATTAAGGAAGTTAACATAATCAGAAATGCTAAGGACACAGTTGTTTCAGTGAGGACAACCTCTCCTAAGCCATGCCCACAGGCAGACCTCTCTCTGTCCCTGCCATTTTACAAAGCTCTTTTTTTACAAAAAATTTATTGTGAACTGAGTGATAGTTTACCTGGGAGAACATCAGCTTTACATTCATCCTATTGTATTTCATTTCATTGCAATGATTATAGTCCCCTCCATGTATCATCAAACATCCAAAGGGTACACCCCCTAATCCTGCTCCTTGGCCATCAGCACACAGCCCCTGTCCCTGAATGAGTCCAGACTTCCCAGGCGTTCCATCTCTCCACATCATTGTCTCTGCCTCCATCTCTGGCATCACTGCTTCTCTGGATAGGGTCATCTTCTCCCTAGAGAAGTTCTAGTCGAGTTCTGATCATCCAGCCATTGATGCCAGGTCAAGTGAGTACTCTCTGCAAGTATGGTGTTCTTATGCATCTCCCCTCACTTCATATCAGCTTAATGCTTCACTCTTTGCTCTGGTCCTCCATGGTCATGTCCCTGTCCCTGGACCCAGGAATCCCCAGGTCTCGCCATACTGCTGGCCAACCATATCTCAACCCAGGTTGATAGGAGTCTATTGAATGTGGTTGGACTTAGCTCAAAACTTCATTGCTGTTTTTCCCCCAGTTCCCCTTATCGGTAGACCAGTGTGGTCACCAGCAAGACCACATGCCTGTTTGTGTATTCCCCTTGAGTCTCAGTCTTGGAAGAGGGGTTGTCCTGAAGGGACCCGACAGCTTGCCTTGATGGTTCCTGGACGAACAACTTGCTTGTTCTTGTAGTAGTTAATCAGACTGTCATTGTTGTTTTTTTATTTTCCTGCTGGTGTTTCTTTCAAGAAGTATCTTCTGTTCTTCTAGACACTCCAGGCTGGTCTGCTTGTCCTTTCAGGTGGAAATTTCCTGGTTGTACTTCTTACAACACAGATTTGTTGGTTCCCCAGGCAGTCCATGGTACTTTTAATATTCTTCTCTAACACCACTACTCAAATGCATCAATTATTATATGGGCTTCCTTATTCATTGTTCAACTTTCACATTCATATGAGGTGATTGAAAATACCATGGCTTAGGTCAGGGGCAGAGTAATCCTCAAACTGATGTCTTTGTTCTTTTAGACAAAGGTCTTGTGCAGTAGATTTTTGTAATGCAATATGTCATTTGATTTCTTGACTGCTGCTTCCATGAACGTTGATTGTAAATCCAAGAAAAATGAAGTCTATGATAACTTCAATGCTTTCTCTAATTATCATGATATTACTTAGTGGTCCAATGGTGAGGATTTTTGTTTTCTTTACATTGACGTATAATCCATACTGAAGACTGTAGCCTTTCATCTTCATCAGTATTTTAAGTCCTCTTCCCTTCCAGTAATCAAGGTTGTCTCATGCATATTGTTGTTGTTGTTAAGTGTCATCCAGTCAATTCCAACTCAGAGCAAACCTTTATAGGATTTCTGAGGAATGACTGGTGAGTTTGAACCACTGACCTTGTGGTTCAAACAGACCAGACCTTGCTTTCCTGCAATTATCCTACAGCATCACTCCATAAGTCCAAATTGTTGTTGTTGGTAAGTAACTTTTGAGTCAATTCCAACTCATGGCAACCATATGTCAGGTTATTAATGAATCTTTTTCCAATGCTGATTCCACATTCTTCATATAACCCAACTTTTCAGATTATCTGCTCAGCATACAGATTAAATAAATATCATGAAAAACACAACCCTGGCACACATCTTTCCTGATTTTAAACCATTCAGTATTCCCTTGTTCTATTCATGCCTCTTGGTCTATGAACTGGTTCCTCATGAATATAATGAAGTATTCTGGAAAACCCATTCTTCTCAATATTTTCACTAGTTTCTGATAATCAACACAGTTGAAAGCATTTCCATAGTCAATAAAGCACAAGTAAACACCTTTCTGGTATTCGCCACTTTTAGCCAAGATCCATCTGACATCAGCAATGACATCCCTCGTTCCATATCCTCTTCTGGATCAGGCTTGAATTTCTGGCAGTTCACTGTCATTGTTTGGCTGCAGTTATTTTTGTGTTATCTTCAGAAAAACTTTACTTGCATGTGATATTAATGATATTATTCAGTGATTTCCACATTCTGTTGGGTCACTTCTCTTTGGAATGGGCACAGTATGCCAAATTTCTTGGCATAGATGTGTGAGAGCCTCCAGTGATTCATCAGCTTGTAGAAAGATTTCAAGTAGTCTATCAATTCCAGCAGCCTTCCTTGTTTGTTTTGTTTTTTTTTCCAGTGCCTTAAGTGCAGCTTGGAATTCTTTCTCAGTATCATTGTGTTTTTGTATCATGGGATACCTATTGAAATGATTGAACATCATCCATTTCTTTTTGGTACAGTGACTGTGTATTCCTTCTATCTTCTTTTTTATGTTTTCTGCATCAGTCAATATTTTGCTAATAAAATCCTTCAATATTGCAAGTCAAGACTTGAATTTTTTTCTTCGGTTCATTCAGCTTGAGAAATGCTGAGCATGTTATTACCTTTTGGTTTTCTAATTCCAGGTCTTTGCACATTTCATTATAGTACTTTGCTTTGTTTTCTCAAGTTGCCCTTTGAAATTTTATATGCAGCTCTTTTACTTCCTCATTTCTTCCATTCACTTTATTATCTTTAGGATGAAAGCAAGTTTCAGATTCTTTTCTGACATCCACTTTAGTCTTTTCTTCCTAATGACCCTTTTCTTTCTTCCTGTACGATGTTTATAAGATCGTCCCACAACTCTTCTGGTTTCCAACCATTAGTCTCTAATGCATCAAATCTGTTCCTGACATGGTCTCTAAATTCTGGTGGGATATGTTCAAAGTTATATTTTGGCTCTTGTTTTAATTTTCTTCAGCATTAGCTTGAACTTGCCTATGAGCAATTGATGGTCTGTTTAACAGTTAGCCCTTAACCTTCATTTGACTGATGGCATTCAGCTTTTCCACTGTCTCTTCCTATAGATGTAGTCAGTTTTATTACTGTGTATGCCATCTGGTGAGGTCCAAGTGTATAGTCAACTTTTATATTATTTAGAAAAGGTGTTTACAACGAATAACTTACTGGTCTTGCAAAATTATATCATGCGCTCTTCAGCATCTTCTCTATCACAAAGGCAATACTTTCCAACTACTGATACTTCCTTTTTGTTCCTAACCTTCAGGTTCCAATCTGCAATCATTATCAATACCTCTTGACTGCATTTTTTAAATCAATCTGAGATTGAAGAATTTGTTAGAATTTTTCAATTTCATCACATTGGCTTTAGTGTTTTTTGTTGTCTGGTGCCATCGAGTAGATACCAACTTATAGCGAACATATGAACAACAGAACGCAACACTGCCCAGTACTGGGCAAACCTCACAATTGTTGTCACACTTGAGCCTAAATTTAGAAATCATCTGAAGAACAGATTTGATACATTAAACACTAAAGACTGAAGACCAGAAGAGTTGTGGATGACATCAAGAACATCATACATGAAGAAAGCAAAAAGTCATTAACAAGACAAGAAAGAAGGAAAAGGTCAAAATGGATATCAGAAGAGACTCTGAAACTTGCTCTGCAGCATAGAGATGCTAAAGCAAATGGAAGAAATGAGGAGGTCCAAGAGCTGAACAGAAAATTTCAAAGGTCAGCTTGAGAAGACAAAGTCAAATATTACAACGAAATGTATGTGCTAAGATCTAGAGTTAGAAACCAAAAGGGAAGAACACTCTCAGCATTTCTCAAACAGGGAGAACTGAAGAAAAAGTTCAAGCTTTGACTTTCATTATTGAAGGATTGTCTGGGC